CCCTCTCAAGGGTAGAGACACAGTGCTGTTGGTTGCACTGATGTATGTTGACTGACATGTCGGCATCAAACTTGGAGCTGCCCTCCTTTGTGCGGGAGCCTGTCATGAGTTTGGCTGACTGCCAACAATTTCTGACTGAACGCTTCCCTTGCTTGGCAACAGAACCTGGAGACTAGCCTGCAATCTGCAAGCATTCAAGTATGCTGCCCATTGCCATGTGCAGTTCCTAGGGATTGGGAATCTTACATCTTTGGCTTTGCATCTCAGGCCGAAAAATGAGACATGTTCAAATGGGTTCCTCCCTCGACTTTATCCACTTGTATGGTGGAATGGGAAATGCTGCAGCCGGATTCCGGGAGTGCGGCTTCGAGGCTGAATCTCTGGACCGGAGCCACTCAGCATTGATAGAGCGCCACTTTCAGTCAATGAGAAAAATCTTGATATGAGCAACCACTCAGGTCAAGGCGAGGAGTACTACAACCTGCACCTCATCGAGGGCTTGCAACATGCCCTGGAGTGCCTGTGCAAGGTGAAATGGGGCGGATTGGCTATGTTAAGCCCAACTTGTGCCTCATGGACCTGGATTGCACTCGGGACAAGCTTGCGGTCGCTGGCCACTTGCAGAACTTCATGGAGTTGCATACAACATGTTTGCCCATGTGAAAGCAAGTCTTGATTTGTTTCCACTGGTCATCTGTAGTGAAAACCCATTCGAGGTATTGACTGGTGACTGCAGCAAGCTCTTTGTCGTCAAAGGAAATGCTACGGCGGAGTTGCTCGGACAAGTCATCCTGCCGGTCATTGGCTGGCTCGGGTTGCAAAGTCTGCTGGAGCAGCCAGCATCGTCCTGCATGTACCTCTGAGGGCCAACAAAGTGCAAATTTTCGGCATAAGATGAAATAGTGGTTGTGTAAAGGTATAAAAGTTCTTGCATTGGCTCATTAAGGTACAGGTGGCCGTCTATCGCATCGCACTTTGAGGACGAGGACGGCAACCTGTCAGTCACCATCAACCTCCTCGCGTTTGGGGGGTTTTCCTTCAAGCTTTTGTCCCTTCGGGGCAACTGGACTGGGCTCCAGCTTTTGGTGGAGGCCAATGGCTATATCTTTGCCAGGCTGGCAGACCGAAAGGGTCTGCCACTCACCACGAAAGACTCCAATGGTGGGAGGACAGGGTTTGCACCAATGTATATATAAACTGCCAAGTGTCCAATTGGAGCATGTGTGTGCTGCTAAGCTTGCAGGACAGGCAACAACTTGATGCAGCTGTCAGCTGTGTATCCTCGGGAGTTTGGGGAGATGCTGGCCACGGTGTTTCTGTGGTGCATGCAAGAGGGCGGAGTTGAGGAAGCCGTGCGGCATCGCTACTATGAGCTGTTTCTGAAGAAGCTGCCAACACCACTCGAAAGTCTGAAGGTCATCCAACAGCAGGCAGGCGGCTTCGATGACAGCGATCCTGGCTGGCCAGATGCCGAGTATGACTGTTTCCTGCCGCCCGATCCGAATCTTGTTCGTGCAGCCTTCAAAAAGAGGAAGGCTGAGGGCAGTGGCCCGGCTGCAAGCCAGCCAAGGCAAAACAACAGCTTTCAGTTCAAGAGTCAGTCAAGATTGGAAATTGGCTGTGTTTTCTGAGGCCCTGTGCAGCTGCAACAGCAGAATTTCTCGGACAGTCCTGCTGCGGCTTCAGGATCAGGTGCCTTTGTTCAGCGACTTATCATAATACTTTAGCCAGAAATGCACAGGCACAGGCAATGCTGATCTCGAAGACGGGTTCGAAGATTGTGATCTGGATGATGGGGACGATGACGTGGTTTTCGTGAGCTTCAGCGATGAAGTGATTCCGGACTCCGATTAAAGATGATCCTTGCAGGCTGTTGGGTTTCATGGTTGAGTTTGATAACGATAACCCTGAATTATGGCTAACTAGGGGTGCACATTCTGTGCACCCCCACTTCGCCACATTACAAATGTAATGTGGCTATCTTTCCCCTTGAACCCCTGATTCAGGCGAAGTGGTATGCATGAATCGTGCGGGTGGACTTCGCTATGATCAGCTGTCTGAGCCGAAAGATAGCCACATTACATCTGTAATGTGGCGAAGTGGGGGTACACAGAATGTGCACCCCTAGTTAGCCATAATTCCGTGTTGGGCAGCTCGCGCGTTCGGTAACCTCTACTTCATACTTTGAAGAGTCATTTAGGAATATGGGCAAAGCAAAATTCTGCATTGGCTGCCCCTTGAACATGGTGGCTGTTGCTTGAGTGACGACTCTCAAGTCAGTGCCATTGCGAGATCTGTCAGAATGCAGTCAGGAATGCAGCTGTCAGCTGTGCTTTTTTCTCATGGAAACTTGAACTTGAGTGGAGCAGAGATGGCGCCCACATTAGTGAAATATGATGATGGTCCCTGCCTTCATTCAAGCAGATTTATTGCCTGGTCTGACCAGAGAAGGTGTGAGAAAGTGACAGTGCATCGCCTTGCGCCATGGCTGGATGTCAGGACGTGAAAGCTGAGTTGCCGAGCCCCCCGCGGGCTGCAGATGTCAAGCATGAGTCCTCCGGGCAGTTGCTTGCCGTGAAAGGGGAAGAGGAGCAGATGAAGCAGTTGCAGTTGGCAGCTGAGGGAGCCACACTGGAGAATTTTCGTGAGAAGGCGTACAAGTACGCCAGCTCAGTCATGAAGTTGTGTGGCNNNTCGGCTGAGGCAAAGGCTGAGTTTGCCCAGTACTTGCGGGCAACATATTCCAGCAGATATGACCTGGAGTACTGCCACGGCCCTGCGCAGCTTCCAAAGGACGACACTGTGAGGTTCTGCCTCTCGCCGGCCGACCTTTCCTTTGAGGCAGGCAGCTCCACGAAGCCACCACCCCAGAGACACACCGCGCTCTCCTTGCTTGATGAAATCCTCACACGAGGATTTGTGACGCAAGGCCAGACCACAGTTTCTACACTATGTGCTGATAGTAGCTTGTTCTGGGTGTTTGTGTTCCTTTTGAGGCCTTTGTTTCAATCCGAATCCCTCGCATCAGGTGATGAGATTTTGCTTTGGCAGTCGCAGCTCAAGGACACGACGGACATGGACACGGGGGACGAGAACTTCTGGACCAGTTACGTCAAGGGTGCCTGTCGCTGCGGGACATTGCTGTATCTACTTGCGATTGTGCGTTCGGCTGGATGGGAGCTTGCTGTGCTCCACCCAACATTGTACGAGACAGTCTGTGTGGTGCATGCGCGCTGTGACACCTGCTTCTGGGTTGCTTTTAACAAGCTTAGACCAAGTTACCATTATCAGTAATCCAAGTGTACCATTTTCGTTATGTTATTGAAGTTTGTTTACAGTAACCAAGGTGCAGACGCACAGACAGCAGCATATCAAAATGCGATGCTGTCTCAGGCCGGGTCCATCCGCAAGGCACACGACATTCCAACATGGCTAGCCAAAATACAGACCATGTGCCAGTCTGGGATGAGTGCTGACGCCATTATCCGGACCTGGAATTCCCGTTCAAGCAAAGAAGGGCAATTGCAGGGTGCGAAGAGAACATGCCTGCTCAACCTTCTTCAGTGTCCCCAAGCCGGCTTAGAGGTGCTGCAGACCCACGCCTCTGTCTTCGGCAGCCAGACGGCATTCGCAGAGGAGTGCTTCTCTCAGAAAAGTATTCTTCCAGGGCATGTGCCTCGCCTCCCAAGCAAGCAGTGGAGTGCTCGCTTGATGGTTTCAAATGAGTCCTTCATTCTCATGATGAAGACAGTGGATGCTGCCCACCATGAACGACTTCCGGCACTCCGAACGAAGCTCCCGAAGGACGCCATGTTGGACGCTGCCCAGCTGGCCTCTCTGGCACTTGCTGTGACTGAGGAGTTGAAAGAGAAGCATGGTGTCTCCTCGGACAAGATTGTTCAAGCCCACATCAATGGTGATGTGCACTTGTCTGGAGAATTGCATTTGGCTCTTCACGAGAAGTCCAGTGCCTGGGAAATCACGTCCCTCAGCATTGTCAAGGAGATCTTGAGGGAGCATAACATGTCCATTGAGAAGCTGCACCCCCAGTCTCAACGGACAGTCAGGGCTGCAGAGCTTGAGAAGGAAGAGTTTGATGTCCTCTTGGCAACTTGGGAGTTTCTTGCCTTCTTTAAGGTCTAGCTAGGTTACAAACAATTTTGTGATTGATCATTTTAGGGTTTAGTTTTTTTTTCAGAATTTCATTCATTTGTGCCCTGACTATTTCCAAGGCGTGATTTGCATGCCTTCACCAACTGGAAGGTGAAATGCGAGGACCGAGAGGCAGCTCGGTATCATGCGGACATCCAGCACCGCCTGGCTCGACAGCAAGCAGCCATGCAGCAAGTACGGGACCTCTTTGATTCCTCATCCCGGACCTGGATGGGCACACTTGCATGCACATCCACAGCCTCAACCATGGTTGGGCATGTCCACGCTGCCGTGGACAAGATTGCGCAGTTGCATTCTGTGAAGCGCAGTGAGGTGAATTTGCTACCTGTCCTCAACTGGGGGGCACCAAGCATGGTCACTTCCGATGAGATGAAAGCCCAGTCCCAAGTCCTTGGTGGGATTTTGGCCACGCATGGCCAAGAGGAAGGATCAGCTGTTGGGATTGTTCTGACACCTGCCTATTCCTACATTCGTGGAGGCCTGTACAAAACGATTGAGAGCTGTCACAAGTTGCTTGCCAATTCGCGGGTGAACTTTGACCAGAACTTTTGCCTCCCCTACCAGGAGAGGGTGGACGAGCGTGATCAGAGGCCTGTGACCTTTTTTTTCTACTTTTCATGTGGGCCTACTCACACTAATCTGCTTTCAGCATGTTTTTTTTAAAGCTTTATGTGGAGGCCAATGGTCCGGACTGGCAAGATCGCTATGCCTGTGGATGACGAGGCCTTCTCGAAGACATGGGCGTACTGGAAGTCGTCGCAGGCCTTGCGAAAGAGCCTGCTGGATTCTGTGCAGATGCCTGCCACCCGAGACCTGGTTTACGTTGAAGATGTTTGCGAAACATCTTTGCCGGCAACTACGTCGCTCACGCATGGTACTGGCTCTGGCAACTGCCCGGGTGAGAAGGCTGCGCAGGTGGGGGTTGATGGGCAGAGAAGTTTGCTCCGTGGCTTCCTCTTTGTCAACTCAAGGTCCCCTCACTTGGTCGTTGATCTTTGGGGCCACGTGGGCGAGATGGGCAAGGCTGTGTTGCATGAGAAGTTCAACCCTTGCCTGGGTGCGCCGGTGTACTATCTTGCCTTTCATGCTGACCAAGTGGAGGCATTCTGCTAGCTAGTTCCAAATTTCATGTTTGTGCTGGAGGTTTTGTTGTTTGTTTGTTGTTTTGCTGGTGAGATTCCCTGCGAGGTGGATTGGGCACTGCAGCACCACATGGAGTATGCCTTTCAGAACATGAACAGTGGAGATTGGAAGCCCTTGCAACCTTTGCCCGAGAAGGCCCCCGATTCTCATTGCGTTCCACCACCGCCAGAGATGCTGCTGCTCACCGTGAACGCGCATGACAAAAGCCTCAAATTTCCCGAGAAGGTGTTGGCCAAATGGCACGACCACTCAGAATTCTCTGGTGCCTTCCGTGAGAAATACCGGGATTGCAAGGCAAACTACCCTCTTGATTTGCCAAATGCCCGGCAGTCATCCGGTGAAGCTCCAAAGAAAAGGCCCAGAACTGGGGCTGATGAGAGTGCAGCGGCAACAGAGGTGAAGGTTGAGGAGTCTGCGCTCAAGGATGTTGCGGACCTCAAGCCTTTACACCACAAGGCCCACATTGTCTCAAGCCCCAAGCTCAACATCGAGGTCTGTGTGGGCCAGGCTGTGTACATTGCCAACCACACAAATGAAGTTCATGTCGTCAAGGAGGGTGCCATGATTGGAGGGTACTGGAAGGGAAAGTTCTGGTCAACCCAGCCTGCAAAGGGCAAAGATGGCGCAGAGGCTTCAGTTGCAGCCCCCACTGTGGCGGACATCCCATTTGAGCTTTCAGGCAGCACCTCCAGGGTGCAGATGAACTCAAAGGTTGTTCCTCTTGGCAGCTTGATCAAGACAAAGCGGGAGATCTCCCCAGCCGACGCTTTGGTTGCATATCATGTTATGCGTGACCAGCCGACAGCGGACGATGCCAGTGCCTTCGTTTTGTCTCCAAAGGCATTCACAGTCTACTGGAAGATGGAAGACCTGAAGCCCAAGACCACCAAAACGGAGGGTGGTGGGGATGATCTTATCATCCCAGCTGCACACATTGCAGGGACTATCCCGCATACAAAGTGGTCCTCATCAAAGTACTGCGAGGTCTTGTGGGCAGTCAAATGGCCGTCTGTTGCAGCCAAGGGTCTGCAACCAGTCCGTCCCCTGGTGGCCATGTGCCTTTGCCTTTGTTTAACAAGTGTTGCTGTTGTAGAATCTTGTATATTTTGATTGTATCCATCCACACAGAGTGCATTGATTTTACCCCCTCAGGAAGTGCACTGTGACGCTTCCGCCTGGAAAGGCCCTGGAGATTGTTCCAGAAGATGTTTGAATGTGTGGCAGTGTTTAAAACACTGACTTGCCATGGAAATCCGGGCAGTGGTTGCCGCTTGTGGTGTCACACAGAGCAAATGCCAAAAAACAAAGAAAGCTCCACAGGCGTACTGTGGCCCGATATTTCCAGCTTTTGCGGACAGACTTCTNNGCTTACACCATGCAATTGCACCCGGCCTCCAGAATCATTCCAAAGCCTGCTTCACACTGAAGAAGAAGGTGCCTCGCCGTAGCTCTGAAGTATTCGCCTTGAACGCCTGCCTGCACAGAAAGGCAGGCAAAACAAGCGCAGGCAGCTTTGTTTGGACATGACACATAGAACGAGCGCACTAAACCTATGTGAACCACAGCCCTGATTGTTGTATTCCCAGGTGTAAGTAAGATCATGATTACAGCTATTCTTGTTGTTGCTGTTGTCATGGCTGCCTGCCAGCTTGCAAATCCCACATTTTCGTGCGTTGTGTGTGCCCAACCAGTCATCAGTCCTGATGATGCGCGAAGCAGATGAACATGTCAGAGGACTCTTCTGAAATGGGCAAAGCGCCACAATGCTGCTGGTTTGTACAGACAAATAGGGTTCTGCCATCTAAACCCCAAATTCAAGGAATCTCATTAATGAGCAGATATCGCAATGGCAATTGTGGTCTTTCACCAGAGTCTTGCTGGCCTGCCGTAGGTAGCATCAGCGAAGGACCCTGCAAAGCAGCTCACAGTCCAGAAAAAAATGTGTGTTCACGAAGCCATGCCGACAGAACCTTCAAGACCTGTTTGTCTCACTGTTAGCTGTGAGAGCCTTGCGTTTACTGCATCTATCAAGTCTGGCACCATGGACAGGCTGCCTGGCTGCTGCTGCAAATGCATTTATCAACAAGGCTCGTGTCTCGATTCTTTGAGCTGTACACGCATTACTGCAGGATAAATGAATTAGGCATAGTGAGCAGAAAGAAGGAAGAATGCCAGCGCTTCAGCAAGTGCACACAACCAATGCCAACTGCTTCAGGTTTGTTGGTAGCTGCTCCAAATGCTGTTATCAACAAGGCTCGAGTCTCAAATCTTTGAGTTGCACAGGCAGGCATTGCTGCTGGATAAGTGAATTAGGCATAGTGGGCAGAAAGAAGGAAGCATGCCAGTGCTTCAGCGATTGCACGCAACCAATGGCAACTGCCTCAGGTTTGTTGATACATGTATCTGCAGCTGCAGACAGTGCCAGGCCCTGAGAGCTTTCTCATCCTCTTGTGTGAAAACTTGCCATGATCAACCCTAAACCCTGAACCCCAAATCTGTGACACATGGACTGAAGCAACTCTGTGCCGGGCTCCTTGCGCTGAGTTATTCC